ACCTGACAAGAGATGGTGTACACGACACAGTTTGATAAAGAATCAAGATATATTATCACCACCTAGAGGTAGAGAACAGATTAAAGATTATCATTGGTCTTGAAAACCTTGTAGAAAATTGAAGTGACAGAGAATCAATGTTCACATATCTCAAAGGAGTGGGTTAAAGGAAATAAGGATGAGTCAGAACTGAGCTGGGAGCTAAGGAGCACTGGCCAGTCATAGTTCCTGACTAGTAGAGGACCTTCATACCTAGTGGAAACGCTTGACACCTCCAAGCACGGCTCACGGGCCGCCAGCCAGCCTGGTCTTGGTTCACACCAGCACTCAACACAAAGTCCCCTCACCAGGAGCCCAGGACAGCTCTCTGGTCCCACAAACATCCTCCATTTGAGGCACTTTTTCTCCCTTTGCATCTCCTGAGTCTATGCTACACCTTGACCAGACCACCTGAAGGTCTGATCAGTTCCAGGGTGTTGTCCTCCCCACGCTAGTTAAGAGGGAGAGGAAGGAGAGAGCTGCTAGGGGCCCTCAAACTACAAAAAGGAGTGAACAGAGGAGAAAGGGAGACTCTCAGCACCCTGTCATCAAACAATGATTCTAACTCACACTGCAGAAGAAACTGAACAGTGCAAAGGCAGGACTGGATTCACAGAAACACAGGCTAATACTGGGTACCATACCCATATTGCGGGCCTGGGCGATGAAGATACAGGAGGAAGAACTTCTGCCAGATGAGTGGCAGAAGAGGGTGATCAGAAGGTGTGACCAGAGCCTGGTGGGCCCAACGATAAATCAGCAGCCTCTGGAGGGACGGGACGATGGGGAGCTTCAGCTGGGCCTGGGCTTTCTACAAAAGAAGAGGGCTTTGAGTGACCACAACATGCACACAGTTTATGCTCTATGTGATCCAATGAAATGTGGAACATTTTGTTTGCAATTTCATAAGATAAAAAAAAGAATGCCACAGAAACTTCAACCCATTATCTAATACTTTTAACTTCTTTGTTAGCAAGAAATGTGACCGCTTTTTTCCTGTTACTTCACAGACCCCAAAATTGGAATAGGTTTTTAAGAGTCATCTAGTCTAATCTCACTTCCATTCC